ACAACCCTTCTGTGATAAATATACATTTTTTGCAATTTTTTTCTTGGATTAGATTTCTGCATGGTAACTGATTTAGAGGCCTTTTGTAACGTAACATCTTTGCAACACAATCCTTTATAATTGCAGTCTCTTTGTCCATACAATCCTTGACAATACACAGCCAAGGACGAAAGCACCAGCAGCGAAAAACAGTCGCCATGTTTATATGAAGCTGTGTGCAAGAATAATTTACTGGCTTTCCTTTTACCATTTTGTTCCTTGCAAGATAATTTCAAGCAATTTTTTGGTTAAAAAAACCCGGTACATTTTGGCTAACGTGAGATATAATTTCCCTTTGAACCCTTCTAAGGGTCTCTCACCTCCTTTGAACCCTTTTAAGTTTCGCTGAAAGGCGACAGTCTGCTTAACCTCAACACAAGACAAATTCAACACAAGATCTTTATGGTTCATCCATATAACACATAACATCTCCCTAAAACGCTTGCAATGTTGATGATTACATTTGTGAGACTGAAAGCTCTTCTTGGCAGAACAGCTCTCGTTCTATAATCGTATCTGTACCTTTTTCTAGCTGCAAAGTATATCAAAATGCACCTTAACGTCTCCGTTACAATGTCTTATTTTTTTCCACTCCTGGATAACAGTTCATGTTTACACTTCACAATGTTGCACTGGCTAGCTTGGAATTGCACCTTTTTTTAAAAAAAAATCATTGGTTTCCAATGCATGAGATTCGTAAATGTTTTCTCTTATTTTTTTAACAAAATGGACACTGCAGCCTTGAGTGTTGCTGTTCCCAAAGCAGGAATAATGTGTCTCGTCTCCTGCCTGGATGCTGCCCCTCCCCCACACAGCTTTAATTCCTGAAACCTCCCGCTGCTCTGCTGTTAAAGAATGAATCCCCCTCAAAGATTTCACCATCAATGTAAAGACTCTCTCTCTTTCTCTTGCATCCCCCCCCTCCCACCCCTTCCCCTTTAGCACCTAATCGGCTGGAGGTGTGCCCACTCTTTCGTAGTGCATTGTCGGGGGCTTTTTGTCTGTTGTTTGGAGGGAAAGGGGTTTAAAAACAACCCTCCTCCAAAAACTCTTTAAGAGAGAAAAAAAAAGGTTATTCAATAACTTCCCAGACCGTTTTTTTTTAAAAAAAAACTCCGCAGACGCCGTTTACGATGCATCGGTTTTACTTTAAACAGATTTGCGAAATTTTTTTTTTGTTATTACCGTTTAGAAGTGCAACAACAACGACGCGGTCACAGACGGCGCAATTGTTTTGTTATAACTTTCTCATCCCGCAATCGCAAGTCCTTTGCAGCAAAACCGACGGGTTTCTTTCCTCAAACCGAACTGTACAGTGAGGCTTTGTAACTGGCTCAAACAGCCCGTTGCCAGCGCATCTTGCCCTGCCTCCCAGATCCCTTGGAAGTTGCAGCCTCCCATCCCATCCCCATCCCATCCCCATCCCCCACATACACACAGCCGGAGAGTCTGATCGCGGACTTCGCTGAGGAAATCCCAACAGCACTCACTCCGGTGTGAGCATTTCAATCACAGCACTTGAAAGCCTTCGGGTTGAAGACTTAACAACCCCCCAAATCGCTTCTGGCGAAGCGTGTATTGGATCCTATCCCACATCACCTCCGATTTGGGGAGAGCGGCGTTTGGAGTCGGAAAAGGAAGATGGATAGTGTGTGAGTGAGTCACGAAAGGCACTTTTATTTTTAAACGCTGTTCACACTTGGTTTTTTTTGGGGGGTGGGGGGAGGATCGTTTAAAGCAGCTCTCGTCTGTTAGGAGCTTTGCATCTTATCCGATGCATCAGTTCTGGATTAAGACTCTCTCGATCCTGGTTCTGGCAGCTACTCTGTATTAAGCGGGACTTGCTCTCTATGCCACAGGGAAAAAAATATTAAAAGACACAACCAGTAAACACAACATAAAAAGAGGAGGTGCGTGGCTCGTTTATTTAAGAGAGAAAAAAAAACTCTGAAATTGACAATAAGTAACTTGGAAACAACATTTCTCCCCCTCCCCCCCCCCCCCCAAGGTTTTTTAAGTCCAGTTCCCTCTTCCCCCCCCCCCCCCCCCCACACACACACACAAACACAAGATAGTGCTTCCGCGTTTGGTTCTTTGAACCATTTTTTTGCTAACACGGCAATTTTAAGTGTGTGGATTGCCTGTTGCAGATTTTCAGTAACGTCTGGTGCGTCCACACGTTATTGTACGTACACAATTTCAACAGATTGGCTCTCCCCACCACCCCCCCTCCTCCCCCCCTCCCCTCCTACAGTAACACAGGGACTCAATAGTTAGAGTTCAGTTCCAGCTGATTTTATTTCCTTCTTTTCTCAAAAAAAAACTATTTACAGGATTATATCAACAATCTGACAGGCAGTGACTTGACACGATTAGCTGGCATGATTTTTTTTTAAAAAAAGAAAGCGTGTTGAGGCATGATCCAAATCATCTGACAAACTTCACACAGCATATTGCACAGGATGGATGAAAATAAAAAATAAAGTTAATTTTTTTTAAAAAAAAACTTAAAAAAAAGCAAAAAAAAATCTCTAAACGATCGGACAGCTACTGAGAAAAAAAACATGTTCCCCCCCCCCCCCCCCCCACGAACACTGCCCTAGTGCCTGTCATGGTCATTCTCGACACATACATTAACACACAATCTTGTTGCTCATATAATACAGACTTAAATGTACAAAGCCGGTCGCACTTTTTTTTTATTTTAAAAAAAACAACAGCTAAACCTGATTTCGGAAATACATATGCTAGCTTCATGCCAAAGACACTAAAACAATATATTTAGCAGACAAGCTATAAGAATTAATAATAGTTATTACAGAATGAGAACCGCAGCATAAGTGTCGCGAACTCAAATCAGTATTCGTTTCGTTATCCAGTGGTTGAGCGCTGTTTAAGAGCGCCACATAAATGGTCTGAAGATGCAGCATCCCTTTTTTTTTGTGTGTGTGTGTGTTGCTGCCCGAATCCAGAACGATTAAAAACTACAAAATCCCTGTTTGCTTACTCCCTGACATATTATTTTAGTATTCGTAGGCGGAAGATGACTGCGTCCTAATAGCGATAACAAAGTAAGCTCCAACAGTCGTTTGTTTTCTGGGTGAAGAAGATAAAAGTGTATAAATCTCGCGTGGGTCCTTCTTTTCTTTTAGGAAAAAAAAGTTTTTTTTAAAAAATACAATCAAGTAGACATTTCGTAAGAGGCTACAGCTGACGAGTAGGGGCGTTGGGAGGGTTTGGGTAGCAATTGAAACGCAACCCCTATTGCAAAGTAATGATACTGTAACCTTAAATTACAAAGCCTGCAGATTGAAGTGTGTAAACATGTGGAATAAAAATGAGGCAGCTTTGTGACTTTCGGCCTCCTTGTTCATCGTGAGGAAATCCAAACAGCGCTATTATTACACCGATTAACACCCCCTTTTTATATTTTTTTTTACAAAAATACACTGAGAAAATAATCAAACGTCTCGTCGTTCTCTTCTGGTCTTTTGTTTTCGTTTTTTGTTTGTGTGTGTTTTTTTTTTAAAAAGTGTCAAAGTCTACATTTAAATATAAAATTAAAAGTTTAAAACTCTAGCCCTTCAGCGAAGGAGACAGACGGTGCAGGTAATTAATTCGGCCTACAAAACAAAAACACAAGTCGAAAAGGTTTGGCCAGTATAAATACATCCATATAAAATGGTATCTGATTACATTTACAAGGAGAAGGGGAGTGGGGGGGGAGAGGGGGGGGAAGGGGGGGGGAAGGAAAGAGAGAGAGAGAGAAAAAATAACAACACGAGGATGAAACATCGGTGACAAAAAGTTCTTTCTCGTTCGTAGTAAATCCGTGGAACTCCTCTGTGCGGGGATTTTGGTCCAGAAAATACAGTCCCAGCACAGCGCAGCACAGCACAGATTGGAGCGGCGTGTGAAGGAAGAGATTAAAAAGAGGGGAAAAAAGAGCTGGTGACTTGGTAGGAACCATCAAGAGAGCGCCATCTATCTGGTTTTTTTATTCGCCCCTAAACACTAGTAAAACCGTTCAAAAGTGTCTGTACAGAATCTAATAAGATACAGTAAGTAACATGCTATGCACCCCAGCGACATACAGTCACCCAACGCCACCCCCTCCCCTCCCCTCTCGCATCAGGGACACACTTTCTTCTCGATCGCTCGACTTCTCGTGTCTGTGTCGGTCTGTGTGTACCAATATATATAGACTATATATATATATATATAAGTTTCACTCGGCGAGAACATCGCTGCATCCCACCCCCCCACCCCACCCCCTTCAAATCACCGCCTGTCCTGATGTGTGAGCGCGTCCCTTCTTCTCTCCTCTCCTCTTCTCTTCTCTTCTGCGTAACGCGCAGAAAAAAAATCCCATTTTTTTTTTTGCTTTTCAAGTCGAGAGACTCCGGGGACCGACCCCCCCACCGGGCAATCGTTTTTTATTTTTAGTTCGCTCCTTGGAAACACGTCTGTCTGTCTGTCTGTGTGCGGGCGGTGGTGGCGGTGGTGGTCGTCGTCGTCGTCGTGGTTGCAAGTCGTCGTCGTCGTTTTCCGCCGAGAACCCTTTGCGACGGTAAAACGCAATTTCTTTTACCGAAAAAAAAACACAACACACACACACACACACACACAGACAGACAGACAGACAGACAAGCGATCGGGATTCCCCGCAATTTTTTTCTTTTTGGTGGGGAGGGGGTTAAAAAAATGTCACGACCCCTTCCTTCCTTCCTTCCTTCCTTCTCCTGTCGTGGTGGTGGTCGTCGGGTGTGGGGTGTCGGGTTGTGTCCTCTCTCTCTCTCTCTCTCACTCACTCTCTGTGTCCCGACACAATTGTTTTTTTTGGGGGAGGAGGAGGGGGGACAAAAAAAAAACCCATCCACAGTCGCGAAGTCTTCTCCGCCTTTGCCCCACACCACCACCACCACACACCCACACACACCCCCCACCCACCCACCCACCACCTTTCTTTTTTCTTTCTCCATCTCTCAGTAGGTGAAGACCAGGTTCGAGATGCTGGACTCCAGCCAGTCCCCTGAAATCATCTCGCTCACCTCCGGCGTGCAGTAGTCGGGGAACTCGAAGTGAGACGCCGACTCCTGCTCGAAATTAAACTCCAGGTCCCTGTCCAGCGCCGAGCTCAGGCTGCCCAGGGTCAGGCTCTCGCAGGTCGGGCTGGAGCTCAGGTCCATCAGGTCGTCCTCGAACTCCTCGTCGGACGACGACGACGACGACGACGAGGACCCGGACCCGGACCCCGACCCGGACGAGCCCAGAGACGACGAGGAGCGGGAGTGCGACCGGGACGGGGTCGGGGAGGTCGAGCGCGGGTGGTGGTGGTGGTGGTGGTGGTGGTGGCCGCCGGGGGGGGGCTTCCGCTGGTGGCCCGAGGGCGAGTCCGGGACCCCCGCCCCCGCCCCCGCCCCTCCCGGCGAGTCTTCGTAGAAGCTGACCGGGTCGCTGGGCTCGGCCGACGCGCTGAGGGTCGGGCTGGCCGGCACGGCGGCCGGGGAGGTCGCGCCCTGGACCCCGAACGACCGCCGGTCCTTCGGCTTCCTGTCCGCCAGGTGCCGGGCGGTGGGGCTGGTCCGCGCCTTGTACGCCGGGTGCGGGTTGGCCGCGTTGGCGTTGGAAGCAGCCGCGACGCCCGACGGCGGATGCTGGTGAGGAACCGGCGACTTGGCGTTGGTGCCCGGGATGGTCTTGTGCGTTTTGCCGGGTTTGCCGCCGCCGCTGTTGCTGCCGCCGTTGCCGCCGCCGCCGCTCTTCTTCGCCGAGGGTTTCGTGTTGACCTTTTCGCTCTTCTCCCCGGGCTTGTTGCTGCCGGCACTTTTCGCCTTCTTTCTCGGTCTGTACTTGTAGTCTGGGTAGTCCGCCATGTGCTTCAGCCGCAGTCGTTCGGCTTCTCGGATGAAGGGGATCTTATCGCAGTCTTTCAGCAACTTCCAGCGCTTCCCCAGGCGCTTGGAGATCTCGGCGTTGTGCATGTCCGGCGACTGTTCCATGATCTTTCTCCTCTCTATCTGCGACCACACCATGAAGGCGTTCATGGGTCTCTTGATGTGCCCACTGGGAGTCTTGCACCAGCTCGGCTCGTCTGCTTTCTCCCCGTCCGATGCCATGGATCCCGGGGTGGGCGAAGAAGCTATGCCCAGGTCGGAAGCACCGGAGTCGGTGGACTCTCCGGCCAGCACCGCTTCCGTGTTCTCTGCGTTGTTCGGTTGCTGCACCATGCTTTGCTCTCGCCCCCCTCCACTCACACACACACACACACACTCTCTCTCTCTCTGTCTCTCTCCTTTTGCTCTGGGTGGGCACCGCAAAAAAAAAGCTATATCAGTAGCAGCTTTTTTTTGGGGGGGGAGGGAGGGAGAGAGGGAGGGAGAGGGTGGGTTGGGGGTGGGGGTGGGGTGGGGGGTAGGGGGGGGTGGGGGGTTAACTTGGTACTTTTCTTTTTTTTTAAAAGAAACACACACACACACACACCAAAAATAAAAAAAAACCAAGAGAATGCTTATTGCCCAGGAGCTGCTTTAAGAGCTCAGTTGTATTGCAAATACGTATACATATGCACACACATGCATATATATATCATATATATTTTGTTGTTGTTGTTGTTGTTGTTGTTGCTTTGCTGCTTCTTTTTTTCTTCTATTCTATACATATAATACAACAACTAAAGAAAAAAAAAAACAACCCCAAAAAGCCGGTTGGGTTCCCCTTGGAGTTCCAGTTCGCAGGCACGAAGCTCTCGGCCGGCCGGCCAGCCAGTCAGTCAGCCTGGTCTGGTCTGCCTTGTCTGGTCTTGTCCTGTCTGCCTGTCTGCCTGTCTTCTGGGCTGCATGTGCAATGTAATGCATGTGAGGAGTTAGTGTGGGCACCACCTTCCCCCTCGGACCATGCGAGAAGACTGCGTTACATAAAAAACTTGTGGCCGCGGCTTAAGCCCAGACGCGAACTCGCGTCTTCTTTATCCAGTCCCTGCCATTGTGACGTCGGCCCCAAGGTGTCCCGGCCCCAGCCAATCAGGCGCCGCCCCTCGGCCCCGACCGCGTCTGTTTCCAGCCCGGCCCGGCCCGGCCCCGCCCCCCGCCGCAGCCCATTGGTCGGCGGCCGCCGAGCGCCTGCAATCACAAGCGCCGCGGCTGACCTCATCCCCCCCCCCCCCCCCCCCCCACTCACTCCACACTGGCGGCTTAAAGGGGGGCTGTGACCAACATGTACTGCTCTCCTCCTCCTTCTTCTTCTTCTTCTTCGGTCTCTTTCCTTCCTTCCCCCTCTCTCTCTCTCTCTCTCCCCACCACCCACCCACCCACCCACAGTCTCCCCCCCTCTCTCTCTCTCCCCACCCACCCACCCACCCACAGTCTCCCCCTCTCTCTCTCTCTCCCCACCACCCACCCCCAGTCTCCCCCTCTCTCTCTCTCCCCACCACCCACCCACCCACAGTCTCCCCCTCTCTCTCTCTCTCCCCACCACCCACCCACCCACAGTCTCCCCCTCTCTTCTCTCTCTCCCCCACCACCCACCCACAGTCTCCCCCTCTCTCTCTCTCTCCCCACCACCCACCCACCCACAGTCTCCCCCTCTCTCTCTCTCTCCCCACCACCCACCCACCCACAGTCTCCCCCTCTCTCTCTCTCTCCCCACCACCCACCCACCCACAGTCTCCCCCTCTCTCTCTCTCTCTCCCCACCACCCACCCACAGTCTCCCCCTCTCTCTCTCTCTCCCCACCACCCACCCACCCACAGTCTCCCCCTCTCTCTCTCTCTCTCTCCCCGGCATTACATTAAACCTGTTATTTTATGCAGCCTGTCCCAACTCCCCCCCCCCCCTTTGCTTTTTTCCCCCCCCTCCTTTCTCTCTCTCTCTCTCTCTCTCTCGCTGTCTCTTCCCCCCCCCCCCCTCCCCAGTATTCCAGCTGTAAAAACTACTGTGTGCACTCGATTGCAAACCTTCCCCAACTCTCTCCTCCCGGTCTCGAGCTAAGACCGGCGCACATGCAATTATGTGCAGTCTGATCTCAACCGCTTCTGCCCCTCCAGCACTTTTAAGTTAAAACTGTATTATGTATTGCATGCAGTCTGGCGAACCTCCCCTTTCTCCTCTCGCTCTTTCCCTCTCCCCCCCCCCCCCCCTCTCTCCCTTCTGCCATTAAGTTAAAACTGCATTATTACAGGCAAGACTGTCCGATCTTCCCCTTCTCACTTGCTCTATATCGCTCTCTGCAACCCCCCACACCCCCACCCACCTCCCCCCTGGCATTAAATTAAACCTGATTATATGCAATCCTATTCAACCTCCCTCCCCCCCCACCCCCACCCCCACCCCCCCCTCTCTGTCATTAAATTAAAACTGCATTATTATATGGGAGTCCATCCAACCTCCCCTTCCCCAGTAAACCATGGACTTCGTCCATCCCACCAGTTGAGACTCCCAGAATCTTTTCCCATCTGGACCTTTCCTTGGGATGTCTTTACAACCCCTCTCGCTTCTCGCCCGCATCACCGACACACGCTCTCTCTCTCCCTCTCTCTCTCTCTCTCTCTCCCTCTCTCCCTCTTTCGGGAGACTTGATCGATCGATCGATATTAAATTTGGCGAAATCGACACCGGGGGCTACATGTCCGAATGAGTTTGTGCTGCAGCTTCGAGCTGACCCGAACACAGTGAAATTAGTCAAAGGATTTTTACAAGGTGTGCTGAATAGTTTTTTTTCCCCCTATATCATCCAATATGTTTCTACCTCTGGTCGGCGTGATATTAAACGAGACAGAGCGTTTACCCTGTGATTTTACAGTCACACTCGTGGTTCGTTTCTGCAAGACGTTGCTGTCTTATGCGGATAAGGGGTTGCTGTCCTGGGCGATGGGGTGGGGGTGGGGGGAGGGGGGGGGGGGTTGAACGTGATGGGATGGGATAACCGTTGCACATGGGTGCATGAGGTTAATACATGTCGTGCATCAAGTGGGCTGGACGTGTTGCGAGAGGCGTGTGGACTGCCCAGCAAACCACTCCGTGCAGAGAATAAAAAGCTTCAGCCGAATTGAAACTGCTCGGGTCTCGCATCCGTGACACAGTGCCCACGCAACTTGTCCCGCGTTTGGGTAGAAAACTTTCACGTCTCGTTCCTGCTCGGCGTTTGCAATGTTCAGATGAGAGTTCCCAACGCGCAAATAAGAGCAACTCCACGTCCAGCAAACGGTCTGCGATCATATCCGGATCCCCGATGGGTCTGACTTCACGTTTCTCTGTGGCGCACACTCTTGAGGGGGCTCAGTCCCCCCCCACCCCACCCCACCCCCCACCCACCACTTTTTTTTGTGAGACGTGGGGGAATCATGAAAATTGTTCAGGGCAAAAAAAAATAGAAGTGGTTCCGATCCACCCACAATCGCAGAGGGGTTTAAAAAAAAATCTCCGGGTGGGGGGGGGGGGAAACGTCTGATAAAAGTGGTCTCGAACCCTTTCTCTGGATTGTTTTACTAAAGTCGAGCCCTGTTGGTCAGGGACGCGAGGTGGCAGTACTGTGCCTGTGTAGAGAAAGCAGAGAGGGAGGGAGTGAGGGAGTGCTGTACCTTTAAACCCTGCCTTGTGCGAGTGAGTGTGTGGGGGGGGGGGTGGGGGGGTTGTAGGAGAGTGAACCAAATGAAACAGGGTTTACATTTTGCTGCTGCACTGTCACCACTGGGATCAAACAGTCATAGCTTTATACAGAGGGATTGGATCTTTTCTGCTCGTTGAGGATTCCCCCACTCCACCCCCCACCCACCCCCCACCAGTCATGGTTTCTCAGACCCCCTGTCTTCATAACAGGCTGAGCCCTTACAGACAACGTGTTGTGTTGAAACAAGATATTCGTTACCAAGGGGAGTAAAGACAGGTCACCCACTCACTTCGCGGGTAAAGGGGGTTACGTGCTCGGTAACGTGAAACTACTGTTTCTGTTAATCCACACGGTGATATACCTGAATCAGTGCTGATCTCATTTTTTTTTAGCTTAAAAAAAAACACAAGGCGGTCCGTTCTGTTAATGCTGACCAGCCTGGAGCTGAGCCGAACCAATCCATCCTCAATTACACCAGCGACTCATGGCCTGGACAGCTAAGTTGCACGCTAACATCGAACGGGGGGCATTGGGTTCCGTGTTCACCCCGAAGAGGTCGAGGGTTTGTTTCGTGCGTGGTTAATAAAAATCATCATCATAATAATCATCGCATTTGATATAGCGCTTTTCACGTCGGGAGGACGTCCCAAAGCGCTACGCAGAACACACTGTAAAGTGAATTGACTGTATATTTGTGGGCGAACGCGGCAGCCAATTGCGCACAGCAATGTCCCACAAACAGTCGTAGATTGAAAATGACCAATTTATTATTGTTTTTTGGTTTTGGAGGGATTATTATTAGGCGTGTTTGGGAGAATGGGAAATAAAGAGAGAGACACACATGCACACTCGCACACACACATATATATACATAGGAGATGATGTCGTGCGAGACGTCTCATGTTGATTTGTTACTGGATAATGAATTGACAACTTTGGGATATAATACCCAAATGCAACCCCACCCCCTCCCCCGGAATTTATACGTTTCACATTCCAGGTATGAATACGACTAAGACTTTGCTTCATTCATCACATCGACTGTCATGGTATCCCATATGCATCATAGGTAGGTGGCAGGTAAAATGACAGGACTCTCAATGGGGAACGTCCCGGACCTGTCAGACAAATTTTAACCCCGTTTGTCCAGAAATTGGGACAGAGGACCGTATAAAGGCAAAGATAACCTGCACCTCTACATCTATCCCGAAATCTTACTCTGCTCGCCCCTTGTACATCAGCGTTAACATCAATTACAGCAATAGCAACATTGCCCTGAGGCATGCTAGAATATGAATAAAGTTTCACCCACATAATGCAGTCCATCACTTTACAGCATATTCTGTGAAGAGCTTTGAGACGTCTCGAATACGCGATAACAACAACAACATTGCATTTGTCTCTGTCCAGCACCTTGGGACGTCCTCCCGACGTGAAAGGCGCTATACAAATATAATCTTGTTGATGTTGTTGTATAGCGCCTTTCATGTCGGGAGGACAGGAGCTATATCAAATGCAATGATTATTATTATTATTATTACTACAGAGTGGTTTGTTTCCTTGCCATTGCATAAGGTACGGTAAGAAAGCCCGTGGTAATAAAACAAATCAAGAGGTACAATGACACGAGGGTTAAGGGGCTGACGCCCAGCAGGAACGCCAGCCTTTCCGGGGCACCTGGAG